GCTGAAATATCACAGTTATTTTAAGGTGTATGGTGCTTGCATTGAATGGAAAAAACCAAATTATAGACTCTGGTTTGGTTTTCTTTGTCTTCCCAGTGAAAACTACATGCAGTTCAAAGGTAACGCTCCACCTCCTCGCTTGGCCTCGGTTCTTGCTTTCATTCTTGAAGTGCTGCAGAGAACCCAGAGCACTGAACTATGTGACATTGACTTAGTCCTCCCAGCCGTGTTGAAATGCTTGGTATTGGTTAATGAGCTACAAGGTGAGCCGCTCGTTTGCTTTAAATACATCTCTGCACACCTGTAAGATTTTTTTGCCCTGCTGAGCATCTTTCATCCCATTATTTCAGACTTTTAGATGAGGTGAATGAGGTACTTTGGCCAGATAAACTGAACAAGCTTTCTTTTTTCATTAACTGGTGTGGGACTTACGTCTCCAAGAGGCAGAGAAGTCTTCCCTTGTTTTGCTCTCTAATGAACTAATGATCAACTTCTCCGGAATCTGAAGAGCATTTCCTTTCTCCCCATCCCTCCCATCTCATTTCTCCCAGACTCTCTAACTGTGGAAGTTTTCTTGCACCTAAAGGTTTGAGACCAAATAAGACTAGCGTATGTTCTCCCCATAGAGGCGTTATAAATGGATTAAAGTAGCATGTTGTGCTCTGAAGGCATCTTTGAGTCTTCTTTCTTCTTTTAGCATGCTTTGTTTGGTAGCAAGAACTTCGTTATTTTTAGCTGCTTAAAAAATGAAGCACTGTTCACCCCACAGTTGTATAATGAATGTGCATGTGTGTGTAAGCTCAAAATTTCCACTTCTTGCTGCCAGTAGAGGCAAAATTAAGCAAAATGGGGATTCACCTTTGACTTCTCCTGAGAATTTTGTCTAATAAAGTACGTTTTGATTCTGGTCTACAAAAGTTTCCAGGATAAGATATGCCTGGAAAATCAGCTGAATCATCGCACACTTTTCTTCCCCCTTCTGCCATCACAGCCACACCTGCCTGAGGCTGGAAGCACCTACTTTGCAATGTGCTGTGGAGTAGAATGAGCCAGAAGTCTTGTGCTGCTGTAGCCACCAGCTCGCTGTCTGACCCTAGGCAGGGCTCCACCACACACTTAAAGAAGAGTCCTTGCAGCCCAGTTCCACCTTTATAAAGGAAGAGCTGTATCTTACAACTCGAATATTTATTTGGAAACAGTTAAGGGGAAGAAAATAGTGGGGTTTTGTGGTTTGTTTTTTTTTCCCCTCTGTAAAACCAGAACAATATCCACCATTGAAAGTAAGGAGAAGATCTATATAGCTTTGGGCAGGATATAATGCCACAACTGCTTTTCTTAATTCAAATAGGAATGATTAAAGAATACAAACAGAACTTAAATTTAAATAAAATCTCTATTTCCACTAAGTGTGTCTCTGCTTTGACTTAAAGACGACCATAGTGTACTTAAAAAATCTATATGTTTAAAGGATAATGGAGGTGAAAATAGGACTTTGGATAAATCTGTGATTCGTTCTGTTCTTTATAGCCAAACTAACTGCTCTCACAGTCATTTCCCTTCCGTGAAAGTAAGATAAAACAATTTTTTTTTTCCTAATTTAAAAATTTTAGTCTTCATGAAAGACATTCTCCAGATGGTCAGTTCAAGAGCTCTGTGTGAATCTTGTGATTTTTCTTTTACAGTTAAAAAATTCTCCACAGACATTGTACAGTACATGGTAGAAGGCTGCCAAGCAGGGTCAGGAGGAGAACGTGCCACCCAGCTGACTTCTGTATTTAGGTAACCAGAAAACATGCCAATTGGCAGTGAAGCTATGGCAAGCCAATTGACAACAAACATGTTTTTTAAAATAACTAATTAGCCTTAACATACTGCATTGTCACTTGTTTATGGTATTTAAATAATGGTACTTTTGGCACTGGTTTTAAACATAGCTTGGCCAAAAAGCCAGAGCAAAAAAGAGAGAAACATAGAAAGCAGGAAAGATCCTGCTTTTTGATGAATCAAATACCGTTTTGAAAGGTATATAATAGAGGTATCTTGCTACTGCCAACGGGAAAAACTCCTCATGGGTGGTGATGGTCAGTGTTAGGTGCTGTCAAAGACGTGTGCCTAATTTGAAGTGCATATAATGGAGATCAAATCCTCATACAACGAGCTCAGCTTTTATTTTTTATTGATTTGATTTTGTGCCAAATAAATAACAGATTATAATGTAAATTGTAATTAGCCCATACCTCTGTAAAATGAATCCTATTTCTCACATGGATACAGTAGAAGAGCTGCATGGGCTGAAACCCGATGACATTTTGCAAACCTAAGCACTGGTGCCGTACTGGGTCATGTCCAGATGAAAGCTCCAGAGAGACTCACTGAAATAAGAATGGATGTTTGTGGGCATGCCAGTCTGTACATGATACATCACTTTCACGGGATGTGTCATCCCTTGGGTGTTACTTCTGGTCTGAATGTAATCTGTGATCTTGAAAGGCCTCAAACCCTCAGGAAGACAAATGGGCGCACTTCCATCCGTGGTCTGCCCTGCTTAAGATCCAGCGGAGCTTTATAAGACACGCCAGCATTATTTCTGCAGGTGCAAATCTAGATCTCTTGTTTTGTTGGCAGTCTTTATTATCGTTATTTTTTATTAAATAATAAATACATGTTTTAGTTTTGCTTTCAGATGAATTACAAAGTAAAGTGCTCTGGAACAAGTCAGCCCTGGTGAAACAGCAGCAGATTCTGCTAATTTGCTCGAAAATAAACGGGTGGGATTTTTAGCATTAGCCTTCAAAAGCTTCGTTTAAAGAAAGTATTCCGTGTAGACTGTATCAGTGTAACAATATGAAAATTGCCATGCAGCCAGATTGCTTGTTCTGATTAGACTCTTCAGTTGTTCTTGGCATGTTCTCTGCATCTAGTTTTGACCTTACATTAAATGCCTTTATGTCCCCCTCAGGCAGTTTATCCAGGACTATACTGCCGTATATGATCACCGGGTTTTCAGCACACTAGAAACGGTGGCAGTCTTGGATCAGACGTTAGTTACCAGCCTGATTCCCACAATCACACAGTCTCTGAAGGATTCGGAGCACAAACAAGGTCTTGGAAGAAATGCTGCACAGAGGTTTGTTTTGTATTTAATACTGGGTTTTGACAATGAGCAGTAGAGGTTTATTCTCTTGAAAGCAAGCAATGCTAGGCAGCAGTGCAGACACTCAAAACTGAGTGATTTTTAACTGTGTTCAGGCAGAAATCTTCCTCTGCTCAGGCCTTTCATGGTTTTAAGCCATCTGTATTTGCTAAAGATTTCCAGAGATGCTTTGACATTAGGGCTACAGACTCCAGTCAAATTTAGGCGAAGCTGGGTTACCTCTGCATACTACCTGCTTTTGATAATGTATTGATAGCCAACTTTCATTTTTGTTTATACTGTTAATAAGGTAAAATTCATCCCTTTACCTACAATATATTAAAAAAAAAAATGTTTTGTTGTTTTGTATTAATAATTTGTATTTAGAACGTGCTCCATTCCCCAGCAGTCTAAGGTGACTTATGAACATTTTATTGTAAGAACGCTAATAACTGATTTTCCCTCTTCAGTCCTAGCCACTAAGTAATGTTATGTTAACGTAGTCTGTGCAATCATTGTAGACATTAAAGTGCAAACCCATCTGTATAAAAGAAGCAAAGTTCAGAAGTTGCATCAGATGCTTATAGTGGTGATGTCCACTGTTGTTATTGCAAGGAACTAGTATGAAAACTGCAGTTTTGTTTGCTGAAGTTAGTATTTCATGAAAAAAAATCCTTAATTAGAATAGACCTAAATGTCAGACATAATACTTTAACAGTAATTATGTTGTCTAGGTTGGAGAGTATTAGCATGAACTGAAGGTGAAAGGTCTCACCAACACATATAGGCACTCTTCTGAAAAACCCACTTGAGTGACAGTCCCCTTCTGAATTCCAGGTTTATTTTAAATGGTTGTTGCCCTTTGTTGAGGATGATGATCTAAATCTGTGCCAGGGCCGGTCTGCACCCTGGTGCCAGTGGCTTACGTCAGCCTGCTGTAGCGTGAGTCACCGAGAGATTTCTTAAGCAGAGATCAGGTAGCAAACATGCTGAAGTCTGAATGCCAATCTCATCTAAGCCTTGGGAACTCCACGTTTTAAAAGAAAAAAAAAATCTATTTCACAGCAGTATGCTAAGCAAGTAGACTTCTAAGCATCTTCACTACACTTGTAGCCATAGACAATGCAATCCTTATTCTTCTTCCAACCTGGCCATGCTAAAAATTCACAGCAAACAAAGCAGTTGAATAAAGGGGGAGTAGGGGGAGTTACTGTGTTTTAATATCCCAAGGTGTGAACAATGTGTTTGGGAATTCCGTGCTTTTACTCCTAGGATGTGTGAGATATTGTTTAAGTAACATGTTACATTCTCTTGTTTTTTCAACAGAGAAGCGTATAAAAGACTCTTATCTTACCTCGCAGAGGCTGGAAAAAATGAGATACAAAAACTGGAAAATGAGACAGGTTAGCAGTGTGCTGGTGATTAATACTTTCCTCTTGAATGTTCTGACACTGTTGATACCTAAAACTACAGTCTACGACACACCAGCCAAGTTCTTTATCTTTACAATGGCAATATATTTCTCAATTTTGGGGGGTTTTTCCCCCCAAATTAGGTATTGTAATCATTTCTGTGGTATTTGAATATTATCATGCATCTGAATGGTGACTCTCAATATACTGTTAAATGGTAATCGAAAGGTATGGCAAATGTATCACACAGTAAAACGTCAATATGAGCAGATGCCTGTATTGCAACGTATGAGGTAGGACTTCAAAGAATCAGAGTAATTTCACAAAACTCAATTCACATGGAGTAAGACCTGACCCTCTTCACACTGCACTTTTGAAAAATCTCATTGTGTTCTTAAGCAAATCATAATTTTGTAATTTCTAATTTATTATTTTAGTAAAATGAGAAAAATTGTGACGTCTAGTACTGAACTTGTTGAATGCCGTGCATTCACTAGGAGTTGCACCAGTATGATGAAGCTGTCGTTTGTTACAAGGGCTTGGATATGTGTTGTACAAAACGTATGTAGCTGTCTTAACCTTCTGCCTGTATTAAAACATTAAAGTCTTTCAGATTCTAGCGTAAAATCTCTTCTGTTGTCTTTGTGGGCAATACAATAAAAAGGTAGGTTCAGATTTCCTCTCCTCTTCCTTTTCAATACTATGTCCTTAAATTTAACCCATAATTTACAGTGATCCCACGATCTTGTTATTAGTCATGACACAGTTATTTATCCATTTAACTTAGACTAGGTGTAAGTGGTGTGAGAAAAAAGAAGAGATGACAGACTTTTAAAGAAAATACTCATTTGGGGAATTTATTCCATTTGATCATAGGCTAGTAATTATTCCTGTTTGCCTGGAATGTTGGATCTTGCAAATATTTTACTGTGTTATGAATTATCTTTTGGATCTTTCCAGGACAGATATAGCTCTGTAGCTTTTTCTACTTCCCCCCCCCCCCCCCCCCCATCCTTC